TCTCTCTTCCTTTCCCTCTCTTTCTCTCTCTCTCTCTCTCTCTCTCTCTCTCTCTCTCTCTTTCTCTCTCTCTCTCTCTGCCCCTGTTTGTCTGTCGTTCTTTATCTACCCCTGTCTCTTCTGCATTCTTTTTTTTTCAGTAAAATCTAAACGTTCAAAGCGTTTTTGTTGAATCAAGTGTCATAGAAAACCTAATGGTTCCTACATTTACGAGAAACGCTAATTAATTATGTTTTTCTGAATCATAAAAAGGAAATAAACAAACTAACAAGGATAAAACGCTTTAAGAGAGTAACGGGAAACGTGCACTGATATCAAGTACCGTCAAGTGTTTCCGCCGCTGCTCATAGATCGGATTAAGACTCTGAACCTTGACTCGGCACGCTACAGTGAACACGATCATTCTTCTTTTGATCGCTCGGATATTTGGACGAGAAATTTCCTTGTATTATTTTAATCCTCGCTCGTACCAGCAGGCCTGCAGATGTCATCGATTAGTGGATTAAACTTTAGAGTTGGCGACCAAGGGTACGTTATAGATAAAATATCATGTTTTCTGAGGCGACATGAGCAGTGCCGAGTGTGTGTAGTAGAGAGAATACAATGGCTTAACTAAACCCAGTACATGATTGTCGAAGGATGGGATAACTTATAAATGAGATAACCTAACAATGGGATAACTTATCAATGAGATAACCTAAACATGGGATGGCTTATCAATGAGATACCTAAACATGGGATAGCTTATCAATGAGGTAACCTAAACATGGGATAACTTATATATTCAATGAGATACCTAAACATGGGATAACTTGTATATTCAATGAGATACCTAAACATGGGATAACTTATCAATGAGGTAACCTAACCATGGGATAACTTAACCATAGGAAACTTATAAATGAGATAACCTAACAATGGGATAACTTATAAATGAGATAACCTAACAATGGGATAACTTATCAATGAGGTAACCTAACCATGGGATAACTTAACCATAGGAAACCTAACCATGGGATAACTTAACCATAGGAAACTTAACCATAAGATAGCTTAACCATGGCGTAACTTATTAACCGTGAAGTAACTAATTAACCATAAGATAACTTAATACATAAGATAACTTAAACATGAGGTATCTTATGAACTCTGAAATAATATATCGTGGGTTCGAATCCCGTCAGGGGCCCGACGTTGTGTCCTTGGGAAAGGCACTTTACACGAATTTTCCTCACTTCACCCAGGTGGGAATGGGTACCCGGCTATAGACAGCGAAAGAT